TAGGACTGACCGGTTTGATCGCCTTGCAGTCCAAGGGACTCGCAGGAATCTTGTCCAGCACCAGAGTTCAAAGGCCTCAATTCTTTGATGCTCAGCCTTTCTTATGGTCCAACTTTCACAGCCATACATTGTAACTTTTGACTTTAATTCCCCTTAATCCACATGCATTTGTGGAGAGAGTGCATAGTATTTGGGGAAAGAAGAGAGGCTGCAACCATCAGCAGATGGGCTCAACCTCAACTAAATCTGATAGAAGATGAGATCTTTTGAACAGCTCCTTGAACAGTAACATTTCTCTGGAGCTTCATGATCTGGTGACACGTTGCTGTTGAACATGGAACCCTATAAATCAGGAGTCTCCAACCTTGGCAACTTTAAGACTTGTGGACTTCAACGGCTGGGGTCTCCAACCTTGGCAACTTTAAGAGGAATTCTGGGAGTTGAAGTCCACAAGTCTTAAAGTTGCCAAGGTTGGGGCCCCCTGCTATAAACCATGGACATCATCTGTTCTTTTAGTGGGCAGTCCCTTCTCTTTGCTGGCAAGAACCCCATCTTGGTTAATGTCAAAAGATTATTTTACATTCTGGAGTCCCTTGCCAATTTTTGAAACAGGAGGCAACATTCTCGGGGAAGGGCTGAGCGAGAACGAGGGAGAATCTTAACTTTGTGCACAGCTTTATTTGAACTTCTGTGGTGTCTTCTCCCTGTTAGATTTTCCATGCCTGTGAAAAGTTAGCAAGGCAGGAAGAGCAGAGTTAAACTGCCTTCTCCTTAAACCTCAGTATCCAGCCTCCCAGGCAAAGAGGAAAACTGCTGGTTAATTCTCAACTTCTCAAATAAATTCTCTTTATTATCGTCTTGGTAGGTTCTTCACAAGCACAAAGATGCTGATAAGCTGGTAGATTTAATGGAGTTGTACAAGGAGGAAGATGAAGCTTATTTGGAGCTGGTCACCGTGGCAACTGAATTCTATCAATATTTATTGCTACCCTTCCGAGACATGAGAGAACTGGCCACGTTATATAGACTTGAGATTCTGGTAAGTTTTTCTTTCTACTCTTTCCTCCCTCAAAATAACCACATATTCCAAGACTTAAGGATGTACCAATTTAGAATAGAATAGAAAAACAGAGTTGGAAGGGACCTTGGAGGTCTTCTAGACCAACCTCCTGCTTAGGCAGGAAACCCTACACCACTTCAAAACGATGCTATAGACTACTGCACACCAGAATAACTAGGGAAGCCATAAAGCATCACAAACCTCAGAATAAAACTATATTCTAATTCAATAGGGCTTTTAGGAGCTATTATAGTTTACTTATTTTCTATGTTACAATCTTACTAGCCTTGTCTACCATTTGCAAACCATTTGTGGGACAATGTTTAAAATCCCCTAGGCACAGTGGAAGAACTTGCATTTTCTAACATTGGAAAATCGAGCGGCTTGGTATTATTAACAACATCCAAAATGAGTATTTTTTTACAGCCAGGAGGGGGAGGCACCTGTGACACCCCAGCGCATTAAAAGCGTAGTGTGTTTCTTTTCTGATTTATACTGCAGAAAAAAACAATGGCTGCCAACCTGCCTTCCACCGAGGACCTGTCCACTGCAGGAGTCAAGAAGAGGGCTGTGAAAATATTTACAGACCCCTCACATCCTGGACAAAACATTGTTTCAACTCCTACCCTCAAAACGATGCTATAGAGAACTGCACACCAGAACAACTAGACACAAGGACAGTCCCCCCCCACCCCGAATGCCATCACTCTGCTAAACAAATAATTCCCTCAACGCTGTTAAACTATTTATTAAGTCTGCATTACTATTAATCTTCCCATCGTTCCCATCACCCATCTCCTTCCACATATGACTGCAAGACTGTAACTCTGTTGCTTGCATCCTTATGATTTATATTGATGGTTTCCTAGTATGACTTGATTGCTTATTTCTACCCAACATTAAGTGTTGTTCCTTATGATTTGTGATGAATGTATCTTTCCTTTTATGTACACTGAGATGCAGCAAAGGAAAATTCCTGGTGTGTCCAATCACACTTGGCCTATAAAGAATTTTATTCTATTCTAAAAAGACACAGGGATGAGTGGAGCTGCCTCCATAAATGAATGCCGAGGTGGCGCAGGGGTTAGGGTGCAGTACTGCAGGCCACTTCAGCTGACTGTTATCTGCAGTTCAGCGGTTCTAATCTCACCGGCTCAAGGTTGACTCAGCCTTCCATCCTTCCGAGGTGGGTGAAATGAGGACCCAGACTGGACTGGGGGGGCGATATGCTGACTCTGTAAACCGCTTAGAGAGGGCTGAAAGCCCTATGAAGTGGTATATAAGTCTAACTGCTATTGCTATTGCTAATGCAGGTTCTAAGTGAAGCAGTCCCTTGGTTGTGGGGACTGAGGACCGACCCCGGTTTGACCAGAGGTGTTAAAAATCTCTCTCCTGGCAGAAATCCTTGCAAGCTGACCGGCTGGGCCCCAAGAGGGTAGAAGCTTTGCAGAAGGAGGCCAAGGAATGGACGGATCAGGCCGAGGAAGCTGTGTGCTCCATTCAAAACGTCACAGTGGGCTATTTCAAGGAAACTGTGACTGCGCTCGCAGGTGAGTCAGGAACAAGCAAAGAAGGCTTTCGTTGAGAACATCTCAAGTGGTGGCCCTGGTGGCAGTAGAGGCCAGGATAGGAAAGGAGGTACAACCCAAAAGAGGGTATATGGGGAAATCACTGCTTTTTGAATCTTTTGGCTACCTTCTCCTAAATAGATTAAAATCAAGAGATGCTGCATTCCTTAGCAATTTGTAATAATTCCTTTCCTCAGCAACTCCTGGTTCCATCCACTTCCTTCTCTTCTTCTCTTCTTCCTCCTCCTCCCTCTTCTTCCTTCTCTTCCTCTTCTTTTCTTCTCCTGCTCCTTTTCTCCTGCTCCTTTCTCCTCTTCCTTCCTCCTCCTTCTCTTCCCCTCTGCTCTATCCTCCTTCATCTTCTTCTTTCTCCTTTCTCTTTCTCCTTTCTCTTCCTCCTCCTCCTCCTCCTCCTGTTCCTCCTCTTCTTCTCCTCCTCCTCCTTCCTCCCCCTCCTTCCTCCTCCTTCCTCTTCTTCCTTCTCCTTCCTCTTCTTTTCTTCTTCTCCTTTTCTCCTGCTCCTTTCTCCTCTTCCTTCCTCCTCCTTCTCTTCCCCTCTACTTCATCCTCCTTCATCTTGTTCTTTCTCCTTTCTCTTCCTCCTTTCTCTTCCTCCTCCTCCTGTTCTTCTCCTCTGCCTTCCTCCCCCTTATTCCCCCTCCTCCCTCTTCTTCCTTCTCCTTCTTCTTCTTCTTCTTTTCTTCTCCTTCTCCTTCTTTTCTCCTTTTCCTTCTTTCTCCTTCTCTTCACCTGTGCTTTATCCTCCTTTGTCTTCTTCCTTCTGCTTTCTCTTCCTCCTTCTTTTTCTTCCTCCTCCTCCTTTTCTTCTTGTCCTCCTCCTCTTTTTCCTTCTTCTTCCTCTTTCCTCCTCCTCCTTCCCCCTCCTCCCTCTTCTTCCTCCTCCTTTTCTCCTCCTTCCTACTCCTTCTCTTCTTCTCTTCCTCCTCCACCTCCTTCTTCCTTCTCTTCTTCCTCCTCCTCCTTCTTCTTGCATCCTCCTCCTTGATGCAACGTTCTGCTTCTTGCCCTTCTTGTGGCCTCAACCACTGTTAATTGATGTTATTGTAGTGTCTCTCTGATGTTGCCTTTCCATCGCCTTCTGGGTCTGCCTCCTGTTCTTTGGCCTTATCTTTTTGTATATTCCATTCATGGCCAATGTTTAAAATGAATTCTTAAGAGCCGTTTAGAGTAGTTATTGGGCCATATATTCTCTCCCGTTTTATATAACTCAAACAATCTTTCCTTTGCCCGGAGCAGGAAGTGCAAGGTTCTTCTTAGCCATCTCAACACCTCCTTGTTATTCATTTTGGGTTCTTGTTCACCAGCAATGCACAAACAGATGGAGCAAGATCAGAAGCGATTTGGCCAAGCTGCCTGGGCCTCCGCTTCTCCAAGATTAGAAAACTTAAAATATCTCCTTGCAAAAGAAAGCCTTCAGCATATGAGAGCCAGAGAATTGTGCCTGAAGCACAAAAGAGTCGACATCAGAAAGCAGGTAAGACTATATCTCCCACTCCCTGTTCCCCCTCTGTCATATGCACCCATCATCATGGTCGTCGTCTTTTAATGGCCCCATAAGCTCTTATTGTGGGGTGGAGACTGGGCAACTGAATGGAGCCAAGTGTTTACTGGCTGGATGTTGTGACTCTCCAGCAGCCAGCAGAGCTATCAGCAGATTCGAACAGTGAGGAGGTTGGGGAGGAACATGGGCCAGTCCTGGAGTCTGGGGAAGGCTCTGATGAGGGCTCTGTATCAGAGGCAGAGAGGGGGCCAGAGCTGTATGCCAGTTATCAGCTGCCTTTGGAGTTGGAGATCCATGGGGCAGAAGAACAGCTGGAGCCTGTTCCCAGTCTGCTGATAGCTCTGCTGGCTGCTGGAGAGTCACAACATCCAGCCAGTAAACACTTGGCTCCATTCAGTTGCCCAGTCTCCACCCCAGAATAAAAGCTTATTGGGGCCATTAAAAAAAAAAAACCCACAACAGAGT